AGCTTTGATGAAAAAATGCATAGTCTAAAGCAGGTGCTACCGTTTGCTTCAGAAGTGAAGCTTTCCACCCTTTTATCTAAAGCGCAAGKCAACATGAATGCTGTTGTTCAACAAGTTCTCGATTCATCAAATGACAAGGAATCGGAAGATGTGAAAATCATCGACATTACTGATGACGACAGCTATGAAGAAGAYATCGCCCAAGCTACTCCAGACGAGGCCATTCGAAAGTTGGCACAAATACCTGTCGATACCGCAATGCTGAAGTCCATCGTACAGACAGTGAAAGAGAAAGAAATAGTTCCAGATGACGAAAATGACAATCTGTTGTCCTTTCGAAGACCAAACGGCAAAACAGACCGCTTCTCAAGGGATCTCAGTTCTAATTACTCAAAACCCACGAACTTCGGATTTGTACACCGATGCTCTACCAGCTGAGCTACAAGGCCAGACTGGGAGCAGGTCGGGGTGAAATAGATGTTAAGGTTGCGGTAATAGAATAATGTAAAGATATGAATATGAAGACCGCATGGCGAGGTCGGAAATTAATTTTTCCGAATTTATTTCTAAGGGACTTCTCCCGGAATTGCCTCCTTCTAAGCACTATAACTTTCTTTCATTTCTATACTCTACTAATGGTCTAATTTGTGATAGACCAACTCGGCCTCATGGGGTGCGGACCCCCTCTTGAGATCTGTATCCTTCAATACTTTCCTTATTTTGTATCGTTATGATAATAATTTTTGTGGGCTGCACCCCCTCCTGAGAGCCCTGCACCCCTCCCTGAGGAAATTCCTGGATCCGCCCCCGGTTCCTGTGTTATCTTTAAAAGGTTAAATGATTGACTTAGTAGACTTTGTATCGAATGTTTTATTTGAAAGGTTGTCTAAAATCAAATTTGTAAAATAATTATTTTAGATAATGGCTTCTATACAAAGACCCTGCGAGCAGAGGAATTTCTCCACCCACTTGGAAAAATTCCTCTGCTCAGAGGGTACTATACACAATATACTATATTCTCATAGAGTGTATGTGTTGTAAATATATAATTATTGGATGTCCTGAGTAACGGAACATTCTATCATGATATCACAACCAAGAACATGTAATTAGTTCCAATCAATAGTCGAGTCAAATAAACCATAAAGTGTACCAGGTCACGTGATGTTAAATTGACATTGACGCGTTTTGAATCCACAGTATATAATACCAATTGAAGATCACTACTGAGTCTCCTTTTCTGCC